AAGGTCTTTGGCGGTCATTAAAAACTGAGGCTCCACGACCGGGTTGCAGGGCTTGTGCATGCTGAGTATGGTCAATATTTTTCATTGTTATTATTTTTTAAGGCTACATGCACTTTTCAAGTATTTTTTTTTTTTAAATATTTTTAGGTGAGACTATAATAAATATTTTTAATAAAACTCTTCACTATACAATTGTAATAATAATATTTTAACAATGACAGTAACAGAATTACATTTTTATTAGACAGTTTATTTTGAAAAATATGAAACTTATTTCTTACTAATAATTTTTTTTTCTCAAAATTTGTCTACTAATTCGTAATTTGCACACAAATGTAAATAAAAAAAATATTAATAACACGAAGAAAGTTGGAAATCTAATGACCACTAAAGCCCGACCCAATCCATTTGAAGTCCAGAATCCAATCAAACCCTAAAAGAAAGGGTATATATATATATATATATACAAGCATTTTTGGGTAAACAAAAACAAAAGAACCTAGGCGGACGGCGGAAGGAGGAGGAGCATTTGGATTGGAATTAGCAAGGCGTTGCGTGGGGGTTTAGAGTTGGAGGATGGTGATGTCTCTCACTTTGCTGTGTAGAAGAAGAGATACAAACATGTATAGCATAGCTGTTGGTTCGTTTCGTTTGTTTTGACGCTTGCTTGCTTTCTTATTTTGTTTCAGACTTTCAAGCGGAGGAATGGAGGGAGAAACAAGCACGGCCGTGGCCATGTTAAGTTCATTCGCTGCTCAAACTGCGGAAAATGCTGTCCTAAGGTACTTTGGTTTTTCTTCAATTTTTAGTTTTAGTTGATTGATTTGATTGATTTTGCTTTAGTTTTCCGGTTCATACAACATGTTTACAGATTGCATTTTCACCTCCCGTGTTGGTTTGGTTAGGTTAGGTTAGGTTAGGTTTCTTGATGAGGAAACTGAATTTCTTACTTTTTAGTAAAAATTCGCGTCAATATTAATTGGATTGAACGGAAGCTTTTTTTCAAGTTGTTTTAATTAGCTAATAAATGTATCTGTTAAGGACAAAGCTATCAAGAGGTTTTTGGTGAGGAACATTGTTGAGCAAGCTGCAGTTAGAGATGTTCAGGAAGCATGTGTTTATGAAAGTAAGAACCTAGTTTTAATTTCCATGATTTATTCACTCAATTTGAATCATTATCGTGATAATGGAAATGGGTGTTTTTTTTTTTTCTTTTTGGGTTTTCTGCCTGCAGCTTACACTCTTCCTAAGCTCTATGCTAAGATGCAGTACTGTGTTTCCTGTGCAATCCACTCCCATGTTGTGAGAGTCAGATCTCGTACTAATAGGAGGATTCGTGATCCTCCACAGCGCTTTAGACGCCGGGTATGATTTTTTTGCCACCTTTTGCTCTCTGGGATTTCACTTTGCTGTTATTGAGTAGCAGGGTATCTTTTTTATTGAAATTATTCATTGCCATATGTGTTTGCAGATGTATCATAGTTGAAGTTTGGTGTTAATTTTAAAACTATTGTAGAAACTAGAATTTTTTGTTCATATTGTTGAGTCTTGATTCTTTTACTTTCTCCCATTTCCTTTTTTTATCACTGTTGGGTAAGTTACATGAAATTTTGACTATATTGTTTTCTGAGGTGTTAACATTCATTGAAAGTCCTTTTACATTTCTTAGTACTTTTGAGTAGGTCTTTTTGTTTCTTAATTCATTCTCCTAATTAGTTATATTTTGGGTAAATAAAATGGTTACTAAATTGTTTGAAATTAGATAATAGACTCGTGTGGATTGAAGCCTACTTATAATATGGATGGATTTATTTGAATGCTTGTACTCCCTTTTTCAACGCTCTGAGAGTAATATAATTTTAAAATTTTTTTTGGTTCTTTTGTTTCTTTCCATCCTCTATTGTATTTCAGGAGGATTTGCAAAAGGGTGGTGCTCCTGGTCAAGCTGCACGCCCTGTTGGAGCACCTGCGGCTGCTCGTGGTTGAATTGCATCCTGCTTGTCTTCATCAATTAATGTATCGACTTTAATTATTAGTTCCATTTTGGTAATAGTGTAAATCATTGTTACTGCTCCACTCCACGCCAGAAACCAGCGGCAGTGATATTAAATGATCAACTTTGAGGATTGTACCAAAGATGTTTGTTTTATTCTTTGCTTCAAATAGGACGTTGTTTGCATCTAGTGGTCTTGTTCCTTGATTTTTATATTCAATAATTGTTATAGTTATAATGGTACTTAAAATTTTAAGTTATGTGAAATTAAATGAAATATAATATGGTATTAAATGAGTGATAATAATTTAGGTGAATTTGAAAAGAGTTAATTATATAATAATAATTTTTTAAAAAAATTTTAGTTGTACAATGAGAAATAATTATTTTTTATTTTTTATTTCACTTTACTTGTATGTTATGCGATTTAAATTTAAGATTTTTTACTTTCAGTAGAAGAAAATAATTATTAAATTATTTAAATTGTTGGTAATAAATTATACTATAAGGTTATAATATTATGTAATATTATAATTATATTATTTTCCTTTTACATTTAGCTTATTGAGAAAAAATCTATTGATTGATAAATTTGCAGCTCTTACTGGCTTCCCAGAATTTTTTTTCGCATTGAAATTTCTTGGCTACAAGTGAAGATAAAACCGTACAAGGTGATAATTTGACGGTAATATCAATGGATTCTGTGTGTGGAGATAATTCTTTTTTATAATTTTTTATATATTATTCAATAAATAAATATAATTAATATTGTAAATATCAAATGAATAAACATAATTAATTATTTAAATAATAAGTGAGGTAACAATAACAAAAAAAATTGTCTAATTTTCACTCTCCATCTCAAATTAAGTTATTTTTTTTTAAAACTTTTTTCCAATTTAGTTTTATTTTAAAAAAAAATTTCTACTTCAGCAATTTAAAACTAATAAAATGTGTCTGCGATACCCACTTAAAGAAAAACATTTTGGAATCAAAAGAAACTATCAAGCACCAGTGGTCTAGTGGTAGAATAGTACCCTGCCACGGTACAGACCCGGGTTCGATTCCCGGCTGGTGCATAAAGAGCCATGATGTCGTTGTGCCCATATGATGGTAGGGTCCATCGTACTTCGCCGTCAATCGGACGAAAACGCGCACTCCTGAGCTCCCCGTTTTGATATTTTTGGGTTCAATGGTTGTATCAAACATTTTTTTCTTTTACTTAAATTTTCGGTACGTAAAAATTATATTAATACTTGATGGGTTCAATGGTTGTATTAACTTTTTTTTTTTACTTAAATTTTTGGTATGTAAAAATCAGATTAGTACTTGATTAATTTAAAATTAAATCACGTTAAATCTTAAAAGAAGAGACGCTCAATATTTATCTTTTCATTTATAAAAGTTAAACTAAAAATTTTATTTAAAAAAATTTAAATTTCTTTCACTCTAATTAATAAGTCATCGATATTAATATTTTTTATTAATTTTAAATTTAAATTAATCGATGATTTAATGAATTTTCAAATATCGATAATCCATATAAAAAAAAATTTCTTACGAACTAGGCAAGTAGAATTTCGGCTAATAGAAAAGATACCGGCCCAGCCCACCCCAGTTTGAATTGAATGTTGTTTGGTAATTTGGTATATAGCGAAAAGAAACTCCGTCACGGTTGTTAGGATTAGATGTCTACGTGGGTATAGAAAAAACACAAGTTTTTTTAAAATTGGATTGATGCATGAATCCCATTTCTATTATGAGTATGACAAGGAGCCAACGATTATGACTTTGGTGTAATAATTAATTAAATTAAGCAAATAATTAAATAAAGCAATGTTCCCTGATCTCATCCAAATTGGTCGTCTCAATTTAATATTTAATTTTTTTTTTACTCAATTATTTTTTGACGAACAAATTTTTTTACTCATAATTAAATTTTAGATACTAAAATTTTTGTATAAATTAGAAGTTTTTTCAAATAAATATTCGAATATAAAAAGTTAAATTCCTTAACCTAATTTTTGTGGAATACCTTAATGCATAATCAAAAGTATAGCAGCCGCAGATAGGAAATTATGAAAACGAATGAGAGCTTTTATTTTCGTCAAATATACAATAATTGAATGATCTCATGGTAATATAATGTACTTTAGAAGGTGGGATAGTTCATAAAGATTTTTAATCAGAAAAGGGTCAAAATCTAACACTAATGATCATGTTTGACCCACAAACTGGGTATCTTCCAGCTGCCCAATGTGTTGCACCTTCCTTTGTTCGTCTAAGATTTTTCATTTAGTTCTATTATTATCATTATTATTATTTTGTGATGAATATGAAGATTAATTTTACACGTTTCATATTAAATTTATTTTTTAATATAATCAAGACAGTAATCATTTGCTTTTAAATGATTTGAAGACTTAATTAATTCTCTAAAAAAAATTAAGGTATTTTTTTTTGAAACAAATTTGTAATGGTCGAATTCGAACCGTTACCATGAGAGTGAAAAAATACACTTATACGTGATCTGATATCATTGGGTTGGAAAACCAAGTGCTCTAAAAGAATTAAGGTATTAGACTCTCTTATTTAACAAATATATATATATATATATATATATAATTGTAAACCTAACCAACCCTTAGCTTTTTCCTAAAATTAACCTCTGTCATCACCAGTGCATTGATCGTCCACAAAGATTGCTTGTACCTGAAAAAGATTAGCCACAGATTCTTTCAACTTTGAATTTTCATTTCCCCAAATCTCAGAAGAATATTTCCGCTAAAAAGGAAAGAAGAAAAAAAAAAACAATCACTTTTACTCATGCCTTCATGACCTCATGCCTTTATGACGTGCTGTTGTGGAAATGGATCATGCTTATGATGGAGATGGAAAGGGAAAGCCAAGATCCATTAATTAATTACAATTCTTAAAAGCATATATCTTCTTTTATCTCAACTTGTACTCATATATCACAGCTTTCCTTCTTTCTTCTTTCTTTCTTTCTTACTTTCTTTCTTACTTTCTTTCTTCATCTTCCAAATCAGATATATTTCGGAGTCAAATTAAGATGTATAAAGCCAATAATAATATAGATACAGAGCATGGATATGTGGAAACTGATCCTACTGGTCGGTATGGTAGAGTAAGTTGTAACTCAAATATCTATCCATAAATATATAAATACATATATATCTTCTCTTTGATTTGGTTTTCTTTATATATGTATGTTTATTAGATGCACGTATGCTTTTAGGAGATTGCTAGTGATGTTACATATATATATATATATATATGTATATATCTTCTCCTGAATTTTTAACCAATTAATTAACCTCCACTCCTGTGGTATTTTAAGCTGTAGTTGGAGCTGTAGGAATTGTGTTCATTCATTCATAACATCTATCTATGTACTAAATTGACAGAATTAATTGTATGAAAATGAAATCTTTGTGGTCTCCAAATTTAACAGTTCGAACAAGTGCTTGGGAAAGGAGCAATGAAAACAGTGTACAAAGCAATTGATGAGGTCCTTGGAATGGAGGTGGCATGGAACCAGGTAAAGCTGAATCAGGTGCTGCGCTCTCCTGACGATTTGGAGCGGCTGTACTCTGAAGTTCACCTCCTTAGCACTCTCAATCATGACTCCATCATTAATTTCTACACCTCCTGGATTGATGTTCATCACCACAACACCTTCAACTTCATCACTGAAATGTTTACTTCAGGAACTCTTAGAGAGTAATAATAATATATAGTAACTAATTAATTAAGTTCCCTCTCTCATATATACTTATTATTAATTATTACTTGCTGTACTAATATCATTTCTTCTGCTGCTGCTGCTGCTGCTGCAGATACAGGAAGAAATATAACCGAGTGGATATCAGAGCCATTAAGAACTGGGCTCGCCAAATATTAGAGGGTCTTGTCTACCTGCATGCTCATGATCCTCCTGTCATTCATAGGGACCTTAAGTGTGATAATATTTTTGTCAACGGCCATCTTGGAAAAGTCAAAATTGGTGATCTAGGACTTGCAGCGATTCTCCAAGGATCCCAATCAGCACACAGTGTCATAGGTATTATTTTTTTTCTACAATACTTCATAATATGTAATTATTAAGTTTTTTTTTTTTTTCTAGAATTAATTTTTCCCCAAATTAAATGCTTAACTATAGGCACTCCTGAGTTTATGGCTCCAGAACTATATGAAGAGGATTACAATGAACTAGTTGATGTCTACTCATTTGGGATGTGCGTTCTAGAGATGTTTACATCTGAATATCCATATAGCGAATGTGTCAATCCTGCACAAATTTACAAGAAAGTGACCTCGGTCCGTATCACTACTACCCTGCATTTAGTGATCATCAGCAGTTAGTTTATACTAATTCCTTTTTTCCAGGGGAAACTCCCAAGAGCATTCTACCAGATTCAAGACTTGGAGGCACGGCGATTTATTAGACAATGTTTAGAAAATGCCTCAAACAGACCAACAGCAAAACAACTATTCCTTGACCCTTTTCTGTGCTCGGATCTGGGGCCTATGAGAAAGCTTGGCAGTCCCAAGGCATTTCTGAATCCAAGGGAAATCGACAAACTGCATTTGAGTGATGATCCTGCAAAGACACAGATGACAATCACAGGGAAGCTCAATCCTGAAGACGACACTATCTTTCTTAAAGTACAAATTGCAGATAAATTAGATGGTATGTATATTCTATATTCTAGCTACTTGTTTGTTTGTCAAGTTATGAGTCGTTTGGCCTCCTCATCATGTTTTTCAATCATTCATTCCTTCACCGTGTTTGTTTCCTCGTTAGGTTCTACCCGGAACATATATTTTCCTTTTGACATTGTAAATGATACACCATTGGATGTTGCAATGGAGATGGTGAAGGAGCTAGAGATAACCGATTGGGAGCCGTTTGAAATTGCAGAAATGATTGATGGTGAGATTTCTGGTCTAATGCCAGGACGGAGGAAACCGGACTTCTTTCATCCTGAAGCCTACCATACGTTTAACTACCAAGAAGATGTCGAGGGGCCTCATCATCTATTTAAATCTTTCTCCTCATGTTCTTCATCCCAAGCATCGTTGTCTGGCTTGATGGCTCATGGCTATAGTTGTCCTCAAGGTATGGTTTTTAA